TGGGGTCCAAAACAGCAGGAGACTCCAATAGCTGAAGCCAAAAATAAGGGGATAAGAATTAACTGACACAACATTGAGGATGTGGCAATGTAAATAAAGCACGGAGGAAGTATTTTTGACCCAGACGTGGGGGAAGTTTCCCAAGCCGCCGAGTCATCTCCATTTGATGACTTTAATTAGAGGGTTACGTAATAAACAGTGGGTGGGAACTGGTTTTTTTCTGATTGCGTTACTTGTCGTAGAATCATGGAAGGGAGTAGATTGGAGGGGGCCTCAAAGATCATCCAGTTCCAACACCCTGCCAACATCTAACCTAAATCCCCCCTCTTTTAGTTTACAGCCATTGCAAACTCCTTTTTGTCAGAACCTCACAGGGGCAGAAAACCATCTGCACCAACCAAAATAATGCAGGTGAGGAAGCCCAGCACAACGCCCCGTGCTCCTTGCACAACAACATGCCCTGTCCCCCACACAGCAGGACAAAAAGGTGAAAAACAACGACTGCAAAATAATGCTGGGCTCCTCAATCCTATAGAACCCAGGATCAGATGGAATATACCTGCAAGACCAAGTGCTGCACAAGTCTCTGAACGTTTACACCGCACAAGATGAAAAACAATGGCATTTCCATTGATGTCAACATGTCAGCAGGATGGATGTCTGCTGCTCTCCATCAGATACAGCTTCCAGCTCCCCAGTGTCTTATCCATCAATAGCACAGACTCCTTGAAGCTCAACAGGTGACTCATCCACAACCAAAAACCCAACCAGCCTCTGCCAGATGGCTGAGAAGTATTGGGGGAGCCAAGAATAAAAGGCTGGGCTAGTGGAGACCAACAGACCAACCTTCAGCAGTAGGAACATGAGCAACCACCAAACTGGATGTGAGATGAGGAGTTTTAAACCACGAGGGGACAGATTACCTTTAAACACAAGTAAGATGTGCCCCAGTGTGGTGCCCATATGCCACCCAGCCCCGTCACCCAGGGGTCCTGGGTGGGCTGCACTCCTCTGGCATAGCAGCTGAAACCCCCAAGAGGGAACTTTTATCCTCAGCTGGCTGTAGCTGCTCCTAATTTTAGACAAGCATCCCTAGCAAGTGGCTATTTACCAAACAGCTAATGAAGTGCCTTAGAGGAGAGCTGAGTGAGTCACAAAGCCTCTGCTCCAAGTGCCACCTCAGCACCATTTGCCATTTTTTTCTACTACAGTTACAACTCACAGAGCAAAGCAGGCGAGATCCCCCCCACGCACCAAAAGTTGTTTTAAAAGATCAAGGAATGTATTACAAAATTATTTTATTAAAGGACTCGATTACTGGATAATCACTGGTACAAAAATCAAGCTAACAACACATTCTTCCTCTGAACTTCCTTCAGGAACAGCAGTAGAAAGTCCAAAGTTGAATTTTACAGCAGTACTTGCACCGAAAACCAACAGGAGCTAAGTTCTATTGACAGCACACAGCATTATGCATGAAGATTTATTAAATTTTCATGGTAGAAGGGATGCAAGGGCATCCTACAGAGGCACCGAACCCAGCTTCCTTCCTAGAAGTTATTTTCCGGGCTGCTTTCCAGATCATAAAAGGCTACAGCAAAATAAACTAAAATAAAATAAAAAAATGTGAAAAAGAACCCAAAGCCTCCAGGGAGGCTGAACGGAATCTCCCAGGGCTCCCAACCCATGATCCTGTGGCCATTCATGCTTCATTTTCGTTACAAAGCTCAAAGCCTCCATGTCTGAGCCTGCCAGAAGCCAAGCAGGTTGTGATAAATCTAAACAAAGCTGATTCAGGTTTGTGAGCAGCGGAAAAAAAAGCAAATCCCAACACTTTGGGTTCTCCTGACACCAAAATACCTAAAATTAAAAGCTGACATCTGTGCAGCTGACCAGTCACAGGGCTTAATAAAGCCAGTAATTAAAGCCTAATTACCACCAAGCATAAAAGCAGTGTCTGGCAGGAGTTACAATGCAGCCTTTGCTCGTCATCCCCTACAAGGTTTATGCCATGCATTAATGCATTATGCCACACGTCATTGGATTTGTGGCAGGGAGAGCCCACTCACCACCAAGTCTGCACCTGACAACGTGAGAGCCCTACAAAAGGTGACACAAAGCTCTATCCCAGTGAACACGTGGAGAAAATGATGTATTAGATGATTTAACTCTACATCGTAACACTCAGCCACGTTGAAGGATACCAAAACCCCAAAGAAAGGCAGCGTGATCCAAATCCATGATGAACGAGGTCAAAACCTCAAAGAAAGTCAACCTGATCCTCATCCATGATGAATGAGGTTGAAACCCCAAAGAAAGTCAACATGATCCTCATCTATGGTGGACAAAACCAAACCCCAAAACAAAGTCAACGTGATCCTCATACATGATGAATGAGATCAGAACCCCAAAGTCAACATGATCTTCATCTATGGTGGACAAGGCCAAAATCCCAAAGGAAGTCAATATGGTCCTTATCCACGACAAATGAGATCAAAACCCCAAAGAAAGTCAACGTGATCCTCATCCATGATGGATGAGACCAAAAAACCCAAAGGAAGTCAACGCGATCCTCATCCATGGGGGAAAGGACCAAACACCCAAAGAAAGTCAATGCGACCCTCATCCATGATGAATGAAGTCAAAACCCCAAAGAAAGTCAGTGTGATCCTTTTCCATGATGGACAAAAACAAATCCCAAAGAAAGTCAATACGACCCTTAATTATCCTGGACAAGACCAAAATCCTAAAGAAAGTTAATGTGATCCCCAGCCACGATGGAGAAGACAAAATCTCCAACGAAAATCAATGTGATTCTCAACCCTCCAAAGCAGCCGCCACAGTCAGGCACTTCCCCTTTCCCACAAATGTTCTACCAGACATTAAAAAAATAGAAAACGGAACGACTTCTCATCCGTTTCCCCACTGTTAGGACATGAAAAGAGCAACCCCACTGCTCTAAGGATGAGCAACGTGCTACAGATGGCACAACGGCCAAGGCAACACCGAAGCACAAATGCATAGAACTGTGAAAAATGACACAAATCATCCAGCCAGCAGTGAGGCCAGCACCTCAAAGACAGAAGCACACCATGCCAAAAGGTCTCGAATTCTGGAAATAGGGAAGGGCGTTCTAGATGGGGGGAGCAGAGATCCAAATCTTGAAGGTATGCAAAGAAAATGTTTCTGCACGTCATCAAAATTAGCAGCAGATGCAAAAGAGCTCTTCCTGTGCATGCTTAGGGTGGGGATTTTGTGCTCTGTGATGGTTATTTATGGTTCCCAATCCTAAACAGCTCAGGAAGCAGTGGGAGCCCCGTGGCCACACCGTGGCCTAATAAGAAGGGGGAGGAGGAATAAAGGGAAGAAGTTCAAAAGAAAAAAAAAAGGGGGGGGGGGACAAACTAAAAAAGGGGAGAACAGGGGAAAAATAAAAAAGAGGAGAGGGGAGGAAAATGGGGGGAAAATATAAAAAGTGAAAAAAGAAAAAAATTAAATGGGGGAAAAAGTTTAAAACAAAATAAATAAAGTAAAAAAACTTAACAGGAAGGAAAAAGGGGGGAAACTTAAAAGGAGGAAACATTAGAAGAAAAAAAAAGTGGAAAAAAGGAAAAAAAAAAAATAAAGAGGGAAAAAAAATTCAAGGGAGGATAAAAGAAAAAAAGGGGAAAAATAAAATAAGGAGGGAATGAAAAAAAGGGGGAAACTTAGAAAAGGATTAAAAATGGAGGGAGATTAAAAAAAAAAGTAAAAAAAAATGCTAAAGAAAAAAACAAGGGAAAATTAAAAAATTAAAAAGGGGGAAAAATAAAAGGAGAAAGTTAAAAAAAAAGGGGAAAAATAAAAAAGGAAAAAATAGGGAAAAACAACAACAGAAAATGAAAAACAAAAAAGGAAAAAATAAAAAGGGAAAAGCAAAAAAAAAAAAAGAAAAAGCAAAAATAAAAAGGGGAAAAGCAAAAAAAAAAAAAAAAAAAAAAAAAGGGGGGGGAAAAGCCAAAAAAAAAAAAAAAAAAAAAAAAAGGGGGGAAAGCCAAAAAGGAAAACTGGATAAAATAAACAGGAAAGCTGGATAAAATAAACAGGAAAATTAGATAAAGTAAAAAGGAAAATTAGATAAAGTAAAAAGGAAAAAAAATAGATAAAAAGGGAAATAGAAAAAAAAAATAAAGGAAAAAAAAATAAGAAGGGGGAACAGAAGAAGAGGAGGTGGGAAAATTAAAAAAGGAAGAAAAAAAAAACAACAAAAAAAAGGAGGGAAATAAAGAGCAAGCAGCCCGGGAGCGCCCGGCAAACTACAGCAGGGCCGCAGTAGAAGGAGCGGCGGCGGGGCGCACAAAATGGCAGAGGGGTCCCCGCCGCCCCGCCGCTCCTCCCGCGCTCGGCCCGGCGCTGCCCCGCGCCCGCGGGCCCGGCCCGATCCCTCGGCCAACCCCCAAAGCCGGGAGGGCTCCGCGAGGCCTTCCCGACCCCCCCCGCGGTCCCCCGGACCCCCTCCCGGGGCGGCGCGGCCCGGCGCGGGGCGGCGGGGCCGGGGGTGCTGGCGGCCGGCGGGGGCCCCCGCGTTGCTGCGGCTGCGCCGGGGCTGGAGGAGCTGGAGATTGCGCGGTAGGACACTCACCTCAGAGCGGCTGCGCTGCGGCGGGCCTGCGCCGTGCGGCCTCCGGCGGGAGGCGGCCGAGGACGGGGAGAGCGAGAGGAGAGGGGGGAAAGCGGCGCGGCCCGGGCGGAGCCGCCGCAATGGCGGAGGGGAGAGGCGGGGAGCGGCGAGCGGAGAGCGGCGGCGGCGGGAGGAGGCCGGGGGGAGAGGGAGAGAGGGGGGGTGGGGGGGGAGGAGGACGTATGGCGTCATAGCGCGGCGCCGCCGCCATGATGGGGAGGGAGAGGGCCGCGTGAGGGGCGCCATCTTGGGGAGGGCGGTGTGGGGGTAATGGGGAGAGAGGAGGCGCCATCTTGGGGAGGGGGCGGTGGCGGCGGCGCCATCTTGGGGAGGGCTGAAGGGTGAGTAGCGGGAGGCGCCATCTTGGGGAGGGCGTGGTTTTGTGACAGGGGACATCTGAGGGCTTCCAGTGGTGAGCTGAAGGATGAGCGATCTAAGTGATTTGAAGTGATTCAAGGTGGTGAGGGAAATAATAAAAGTAGGGCTAATTCTGATCAGTAGGAAGGATTTTAAGGAGGGAGTTCGGAATGAGGCTGTCAGGATGGGATGTTTTCTTCACATCTAAAGGATGGGTGCGAGGAGGGAGGAGAGTCTGAAAAACAGAGGGAGGAGGCAAAGGAAATAACAAAAATAGGGATAAATCTGTTTTATAGGAGGGGCTTCAAGATAGGATCACTTAAATGCAATGAAGACGTCAAGTATGAAGTGTTTTCCTCACATCTAAAGGATGCTGTGGATGGGTTCTTCCAATTGGCAGTGTAAGGGAGGAGGATTTGAAATACAGAGGAAAAAGTAGGTGAGGAAATAATAAAAATAGGTATAAATCACTTTTACAGGAAGAATTTTAAGGAAGGATCACTTAAATGCAATGAAGACGTCAAGCATGAGGTGTTTTCCTCACATCTAAAGCATGGTGGGGATGGGTGCTTCCAATGGGAAGTGTAAGGGAGGAGGATTTGAAATACAGAGGAAAAAGGAGGGGGAGGAAATTAAAAATAGGTCTAATTCTTATTAAGAGGAGGGATTTTAAGAAGGGATTTCAGACTGAAGCTGTCAGGTTTGAGATGTTTTCCTCATGGCTAAAGGATGGGTGTGAAGAGGGAGGTTAACAGGAGCTTGTTTGCAGCTGGAAAACAAACATATTTTCAGGAATATTCCTTAAAGTGTATGTTAGGCACTCTGCTGGAGATCTGCCAGGTGAAGTATTCAGTTGCTTTTAATTATAGTAATCAGAGTTTTATTTTTTGTTGGCATAAAATGTGTGTGTATATATATATATATATATATACATATAATATTTATTTCTTATTTTTTAAATTTCAGGACACCAAGCTGCCATCTGTGCCTGTAGGAACCTCTTCCATGGGTATATCAGAGTTATACAAACGTTGTTATCCTAATATCCACTCCTGGTGGTTTACAACTTCCCTTAGAATCATAGAAACATTCAGGTTGGAAAAGACCTGTGACATCACCAAGTCCAACCCCGGCTCATCCCCACTGTGCCCGCTGAACCACATCCCTCAATGCTACATCTCCACATTATTGAACACCTCCAAGGACAGTGACCCCAATAGGTACCATTCCAGTGCCTGACCACTCTATGAGAAGACATCTTTCCTAATATCCAGTGCTAGTCTCTGTGAAATGGGAGGCATCTTAACATGCTGACCATCTGTCAGCCCTCTGTGCATTTTATGAACTGATAAATGTAGAATAACTTCCATCCCACTGATGGAATGAAACAGCCATCCATTTTTTTTCTGTTAACAAATGGAATAAAGCTGTAAATGGCTTCCTGGGGCAGGTGCTTGTGACCACACGGCATCCATCTGAAGATGGAAGAATATGGGAAGTGTGGTAAGAAGAACTGCAGAGCCAGCTGAGTCGATTGGCATGCGTGTCAGGTCAGCTCAGGATCGAATGTCCACTCTGCAGAGTCACACTCCATTTGTTGCCTCTGCAGTGCCCCTGCATTTCTTCACTCTCACAGCATGTCGTGGAAAAAAAAAGACACCTCTGCTTTTTGCACGGATGTCATCTCAGCCCATAGACTCAGGGTCTCTGAGATGCTCTAGGTTTCTGTTACTGGTCTTCTGTGAGTTCAAGTGTGGATCTGGGCCAAATGGTGACTTATGTCAGTTGCCCCTGTTGGAAATATCCAAGTAATGTTTGTCAGGACGGTATCTCAGATAAAAGCAGATTTTATTTGCGATTGCAATGGCAGCGTCCGGCAAGCAGGAGCGCACCTACAGGCACATCGTGACAGCATTTAGACCTTGTTTTCTCCCCCTTGCCTCCTCCCCTCCCCTGTTTCCCCACTGGCTGGGTACTCTAGGTTCACAATGTTATCAGAAGGTTTACATTTGCTATTTACTTGTTAATTTATTTGTTATCTGGTGTCAGTCAGCAGCCATCCTGTTGTTTCCAAGATGTGTCGGTGCTTTCCTTGTATTGATATGGTGATTTTCTTTAAAGTCATCATTAAAGAGCACTGGGGGGGGATGATGCCAGGCCTTCCGATGTCTCTTCAGGCACTTCCTCAGGCAGGCCATCACTTATTCTCTGGTTTGCTCTCGTGCAGGATATTCTTGCAGTGTGTATGACAAAATATACATCTGTACACCTAGATACAGAGTGTGTGTGCCTGGGAAGGTTCGTCTAGAGGATCAGTGATGTAAACTATCAGAGATCTTCCCCAGGTGAAGTAAAAGGACTCCCAAAAAGAACTATGATAGCGGAGATCATGAAATAACAAAAAAATATTATCCAATTCTAAAGCAGAAACAACATTTGATTCCCACACCTCTGGTGGGGTTTGCTGCTCCTGGAAGCTCTGCCAGCACATTCAGACGTGTGGAAGCAGCTGATGTGGACTAATAGCTGTGGAATTCCCTTGTGCTAATCAGCAGCTTTGGAACAAGGAGCACAAAGAGTTGGGTCTGTGCCTCCGGAGCGGCGTGGTATAACCCAAACCTCCACAGGATGAAGGTCGCTTGCTGGTACATCACAGGGAGGGCAGACTCACGTGAGCCACCAAGATCTTTTCATAGCGGCAGGATGTGATAACACTGCAACAGCTTCAGGAGGCTCTGGAATCTCCCACAGTGGAGGTTTTAAAGACAGGTTAGGCAAATACTGCTCAGGAATGCTGCAGGTAGAGTTGTACGTGCCTCAGGGAGAGGGATGGCTGACACAAGGTCCCATCCAACTGCATTTTTCAGCCACGTGTCACTAATTGGTTTGGAATAAGCAGATGAAACCGTGAGCTGTTGAAAGCACATGTTTACAAGGCAATGGCTTGGGCTGGGCCTAACACATGCTTTTTTCCTCCCCTCTCTCAAGGAGTTCTTATCTGAAGGCTGCAGATTGGACTCAAGCCTCTCAATGGGGAGGGGCATGGACATTCATTTGAAATGCACCAGACTAGTCCTCAAGAGGCAGAATTTCTCAGAGTCAACAATCTAACTCTTTATACAGAATTGAACGACAGTGCATTTCCCCAGGCTCTCGCTGCCACCCTTGTGTCATAGGCTCACACTCCTATGGGAAAAGAGGTGCCAAAAGGCTAACTGTGAGTTCAAATGGATGTTTTGTCAACAGAAGGGTAGGGAACATAGGTTGCACAGCTGTGGGAGTGCCAGGGTTCTCCACGAAAAGGACAGGGAGGAGATTAGCTGGGCGAAGGCAAACAATGCATGGTGGAAAAGGTGAGTTCTGGTAACAGAGTGGGTCCAGAAAAGCTCAGATGTCCACATCTTTGGCCTGGAAAGAGAATGTGGAAGGGATAATGTGTCAGAGTAGCCATTGCACAAATATAAACCAAACAGCAGCCCCCAGTAATGCAGAGTGTGGCTGTGAGAGTGCAGCTGTGTCACAATCAGAAGGTTTGCAAGCGAGAAAAAGTTCTGTGGACGTTTAGGGATCGCAAAGAAAGATTATGTTCCCATAAGGGGATGAGGGAGGTGATGATTGAGCAGAAGAAACTGAGCAGTTCTTAAACATTCACAGTCCAATCAGAAGGGGAATAGTACAGACACATCTATTCCCAGATTTAAAAAAAAAAAAGCATCCATTACTTTCCTTTAACACAAATCTTTGCAACAGTTATTGTCCAGTAATGTGCAATACAATTGATTTGCAGGGCACATAAAGAGCCAGACTTGGTTTACATTACTCTAGGGAGAATGTTGATAGTGCAATGAGTTTGTTAGAAGTAGTCTTGATTGGGTTCTGGTTGCTGCAGTTTCTCTGGAACCAGATTAGACCAAAGCTGAGTCAGGATTTGAGGAGAATTTCTGCAATTAAAATCTGTTATGATCTGTGCTGTCACCAAAATCCAGTAATTCTGCAGAGCTGCTGCTGTTGGATGGAGGATTCTTGCAGCATCACCCAGAGCCTGACCTTTACCCTCAGTCCTCCAGCGTGGTGTGAAGATGTAGGAGCAGCCTGGACTGGGGCTGAAACCACTGTTCTGGTGATGATTCCACAACAAAATGGGGTCTGAATGTGCAGCAGTACGACTGACACACGGCTGCTCTTGGGGACAGCAGCTTTACAGTCATGGTTCCTCTCTTGCAGCTTCCAGTAACCAGTCTGGCTTTTGGTCTTGCCCTGCGTCAACCAGCCTTTTCACTTCACTTCTTCTCATAATTAGTGATTAATTTTTTGTTCTGCCAGTACCCAGATGAGTGCGATTCTCTGATCTCCACGAAACAGCAGTAATAGTAACAACTACCTGGAGAATGGCATGGAAGAACACACTTAGGCCTTTCAGTGCCTTTTCCTTGCTGTTCAGCACCAAACTGCAGTAGATCTTACAGCCAAAATATTTACTGGAGAGACAGAGACACTAAAGAAAGAAGAAATGCTGTAGGAACTCTGTTGGCAGGAATTCTTTTCTCTCCCATCCTCACATTCTGCCCTAAGCTTATTTTTAAATACAGGGCCATTTCCCCTTGGCTGGGCTAGCTGTCTGCACACAATTACACTTCTCTATTATTAGTGAGAGTGAACAGGGCTGAGTTTACAACTGTGCAGGAGAGATAAGCTCAAGACGACTGTGTTTCCTCTCCAAGGGGCTGTCGAGCTGTGTTCAGCTCTGCATCTGAGACACTGCTGTCCTGAAATGGGGAGGAATTCTTGTCCTCTGAACAGGGATGCCCAAAAGGAGCAGGCTGGGTGAGTTTCTTCTAATGGAAGATTAGACAGAGAATCTCTCACATGATTTTATCCTCTTCATCCAGGACACTGGAGTCACAGGAGTTTCTGAGCTTTCTGATACCCATTTGTATGTCAGAATAATCACATCCTTTTAGTAAACTAAACTAAACTTTAGTTAACTGAAGAATCTACACAACTAGTCCAAGCATAGACGCAGATGCGTAGATTTATAGGAGATCAATGCCACGAGCCTCAGTTTTATGGCTCTCCCATTTAGCAACATGGGAGGAGAAAAAGTGCACGTCAGAAGTGCGAATTGTTACCTTCAACAAAGGTAAAAAACAGACCAAAACAACAAGAATAGCAGGTTTCAAAAATGGGACTTAGGAATGAAAAGCAAAATAAAAATAAAATTAAAAAAAAAAAAAAGAGTGCACTCTGCACTTTCTTAACCGAAAGCTGAAATGAAGGAATGTTAGAGGAAAGGAGATGTAACACGTGTGAGGAATCAAAGCATCTGCACTTAGGAGAAAACAGAGCTACTCCTTGGACATGTTCCGAGGGCACAGTGTAATTAACAGGTACTCCCAAGGTGTCTGTCTTCAAAAGGTGCCAACGTTTCTTGATAAGTTATCTCAGGAGCCAACACAACAGGTGACAGAAGGGCTGCTGCTTTCAAGGACACCCCTTCAGGTCACACCATTCAGATGAGTTGAGCAAGCTTAATAGTTATTGGATTAAGGCAGAGCCTCGTGCTAATAAAGCTGCAATATGCCCAAAAAAAAGATGTCTGCTTGAGCATTGCTTATCCTGAAGAACAGAAGCACAGGGTGAGATTACACAGAATTAAGATCACGAGAGGAGGCAATGCTACCAACAATATTAAAAGAAATAGTAATTTCATAATTTCAGAAGTCATTTCATTTTCTTCCGTTCCTGCAAGTCACGTCAGAAGCTTTAAACCAACTATGCCTCTCTTTATCAAGCCCTTGTGAAGCAAGGATGGGAAACTACCAGAATCCTCACAAGCAAATGACATAGGAAAGGAATTCTCTCCATAGGTAAGCATTACAATTTCAAGAAGACCAGCCAACCTATGTAACATTCTGAACTGCAGTTGGAAGAAACCCACAGAAGCTCTCACATTTTGTGTAAGCAGGGAGGGAGCCAGATCGTTCCTGGAATGCAGTGAACAATTCAAGCTTTTGTAACCATGCATTCAATGAGCGAGTGCTTCATTATGTAGCATCATGGCTTGGTCCACGAGCAGATTTATTTTGCAAACATTGCAGTCCAACAAATGAGCAGTTTGCCATGAATGTGAAGATGAAATGTCATCTCAGGGTGCGTGGAGGGAATCTTCACCAGCTGGTTATCCTGGTACTTTGCAGAACAGGAACCTTACTGAGTGACACAAAAAAAGGCTTCCCAAGAGATGTACGACCTATTGGAATCACCCTAAGGGAAAAGAAAGGTTTTTCTGAGGTTAAATGTTTGGGGTTTTTTTTCTTCAACTTGCACTAAGTAGTATTTAACATTTTGGCTTTCTTCACATAATCCAGTTACGCTGGTTGTCCTGCATTAAAGCATTAATGAAGGGCTTCCTTTTAGCTCACAGGACTGCTTGTCCTATTGCTTTTTGTTTCAGCTCTTATAAATATTCTAACATTCAACAGTGATTACTGATGAACTTTTAAAGCACTTGGTCCAAGCATTTTCACCAAAGAGCAAACTGCTCCATTCATGACAGACAGTCATGGCCATCCCAAGGAAGACACCAGGTTACACTAAGCTTTTTCCTCATTTTTCTTAAACGTTTCTCTTTTTCAGTGCCAATTGAAATTCTCTCAATTCAGTGCCAACAAGAAGATGGCTTGGACTCCCAAATTCACCGAATAGCTCCAGAAAACCACCAGTAACTGGGTAACACACTACATGCAACAAGCCCCAGCATCTGGAATGGAAAGCTTCAATACCTGCACATCTGAGAGAGCAACCACTGCTGTGAGTGCTCGTTTTTTGGTCCTTCCCATCTTTTGTACAACAGTTAAAGGGAGAAAAAGCTCGCACCTTTTTTATAAGCAGGAAGTGAGAGGCTCAGGAAAAAAATACATTGAAGTTGGATGACATTCTTTTATACCCATGAAACGTGAGATGGCTGTAGGGAACCAAGTCAGTGGAAATGGGCAAATGAGACAGGAGTTAACCCACAAAAACCTCAGTTTTATTTACGTCTGTGGGCACTATTTAGTGCCAACATTTAATGTGCATTTTGGATGAAAGTTTTTTCTTTAAATATCTATCATGGTAACTTCTTCGTTCTGGAGATAACATTTATGACCACAAAAGTCCTCAGCTGTCCTTCTCTGAAATTGGGAAATAACATCCAGGGCATTTCCTAAAGTGAAAAATGAGACAAAAGACTTTGTGCTGCTTCTCAGGCCTTTCTTAAGTATCATAAAGCTCTGCAGTGCTTTTCTTAATGTGAAAATAACACATTAGGAAATGCCATGCAACACACGAGTGTTGGCTGAAGGATATTTTAATACCAAGTGTGGTGAATAATGGCCGTTCACACAGGAGTTAAACAAAAAGACATCACTCTCACAAGTCTTTTGATTCTCTCCCTGTACCCCACCCACAAATATGTAGGTCAGCATCCGGTGTATTCTTAACAGCTTGGTTTTGGTACATAATTTCCTACACAAAAGGGACACTCCATGTACTCCAGCAGCACTCTGTTCATGGCTGTTAAATAGCAGCAAGACAAGGGATACCCTGCTACTGGGAAATGTAAGAGATGATGGGCAAAGCACTGGGAAATTCCTTTGCAAAGGGACATAAAGGAAATGGTCTTGAGCTTCCAGATCCCTCTCAAAAGATTCTTTGGGGATGTGAGCAGAATCAGCTTTATTCACCATAAACTCAGCTTATAAAGTCTGTACCCTAGCAGGAAGAAGAGCCTCCTACAGTACTCAACTTGTACACGTTGTGATGAAACAGAGATGTCTGTTATACAGCAGTGGAGCCTCCCATGAAGCTGCATCCGTTCAAGCTGGACTGTTTCTCAGAAGTCAGCAGCAGTTGGTGGATGTTTGAAGCACTGTATTCAAGTAGAGAATCAACCCATTTTAAAATCCAGACTTATTTCAAGGTGTCTGCTGGTCTTCATTAACCACAGGGCAGCCTGAATTACATGCAAAATTGAGATGGATGAGGGTCTGGGAGAGGAAAAAAGGGGGAAAAAAAAGTGTTTAATTTTGCAGTTTGGGATGGCTGGAAGGGCTTTCTCATCTGCTATCAAAGAACTGAATGGCAGTTTCTCAGACACTCTTGAAAGCAGAGCCTTCATCCTTTGCACTTCACTGGTCACCATCTGGTATGTGTCATACAAAAGCAGATTTTGGGGTTTTTAAAGAGAAAACAACTAATGATATTTCACTACTTGTTCCAGTCAGTTTTGCTCACTAAAACTTGAAATTGTTGTAGCTGCAGTCTATCTCATACGTAAGAAGGGCTTTGCTTCCCTGCAGCAGTTGTATCAGATCAGCCCACACATCTGTTCTGAGCAGCATACTGTCTGCCTGCTGGCTGGATAACAGCTTCAGAGGAAACTGCAGTGATGCTGCAAGAGGTGATTGTAGAGAAACTTGCCCAGAAGGATATTATTTTCCTAAATACTTGTTCCACACCCAATTGTTCTTGTGGCAGGAGATGGTGCTGCTCTTCAGCTTTTCCTCCTGCAAACTGACCCTGGATGAGAAGCAGAGAAATGCTAGTGGTGGGAGAACAGCCCTGTGACACCAAGTAGTTCCTACCTCGGTGCTTGGAAATATCTGTCCCTTAACACTCTGTGCAGCAAGTATATCACACAAAGAGGGAATGCTTCCTTTTTTAACAATCAGCATAAGATTATAAATACACAGAGCAAACTGGTCCTCTCTTGCTTTGGAACACCATTACCAGGAGGAAATAGTTGCAAACATATGTTGTGACCAGAGACTTCCTGGTGGCTGATGGGGAAGCAAGACTTCAAATAAGTGCTGAGGAAGACTCATCTATGAGTGGCAAAGTGGTACTGCAAACCACATCCCTGATACAGCAGTACATGCCAACTGCAGGCTAATCAGCAAGGAAACAGGGTCCCCACCATAATTTTCTTGGCATGTACATGACAAATTCAGTAGAGCACTGCAGTAGCTCACGTAATCTACACGACAGTAGTTGGCCTGCAACCAATGCCACAAAACCATGATTTTATCAAGCTAAGATCTCTTCATAGAGGGAAGATATTAAGCTGGAGAAATAGCATAAAGCTGTACAGGTGTTTATCAGTTTGTGTCAGACCTGTTGTAATTGACAGCTCTGCTGCCTGTAACACAAAGCTACCTGGAAGCCAGAAAGGTGCAGCACCTCCACATACAGTTAAATCAATCAGAAATGGCTTTGGAGGAATGGCTCCAAGCTGGCTTCCTGCTCAGCTGCAGGTGTTCAGCTCTGAGAAACCAGCTGAAGTTCTCCCTGTGCACATCACACTGCTGCTTGATGTAGGGAGCATGCTCACTTTTGCTCAAAGATTCGAGAGGCCTGGGACATCTCCTGTTCCAGTAACTCTAGCCTACTTCAGATTATGTTTTCCTAACTCCTTCTCTGAGGTTCTGGCTATTTTGTATTCCTTCCCACCTCTCACAGCCTGTGTCAGTTCAGGACACATCCTCTCTTGTCCCACTGCATCCTTCCAGTCGGAAGAACCTGGGAGAGATGCACAGACTCACTTGATGTATTGCTTCACCAGGGGCTGCCTTAAACTGACACGGAGGAAATGGAGCGAAGCAACTTTGATCTGTAACATAAATCTTGTGGTTTCCAGCCAGGATGTTCGGACTAACAGCGATTACTTTAAGCAGAGACCTGGTAGGGGGGCTCATCATCGCCTCTAACTTAACACAGCATCACTGCCAGCATCTCTGCTAGATCTCCAGAATCTCACTACAGCCAAAAGAGAACTGGCAGTACGTTCAGTGGGGCTTCAAGTATTGCTTATCTGCCCAAATGTAGGATGAGGTGAATCACCCAGATATGCAGACTGCATCGTGCAGCTCTTCTGACCCAGAAAGGGAGCACCAGGTGACTCTCAGAGCTGCTGTAGAAGTATTTGATGCTGATGATCTCAGCGTGGTATCAGCTATCTGAGCTCAAGTTTCCACCAGCACTGATTGAAAGAACTGCAGGCACCCCCACGTTGGGGAGCACTTTCCATCTGCATAAGAACAGCAGCGGTATGGGTAAAACAAACCCCACCACAACCCCCTCAAACTGCTGAGACTCAGTGTTTTATTCCGCACAGAACTAAGGCCTGAGGGCCACAGCTGAAATTACGACAGCACCAGTGTCACTTGCCATTTGTCACTGTAAGCTTGAGCTATAATAAGAGTGTCTTTGTGTGGACACAACAGTGATTATGGCAAAACATTTGAGCTAACCACTGCAGATACTGGTATGAGTCTAAAGTTCAAAGAAGCCTCTTCTTATCAGGGGGAGCTTGGCTTTCATCACATCCTTTGCTTTCCAGCCAGCTACTTTCGTCTCTTCCCCTTCTTTTTGGGGGAGCCAGGCCAAGGAAAGCCCCGCAACTCTAGGCAGGCAGGGACATTATGGCAGACGTAATGGGCATTGAGCATGGCAGCTGAGCTGAGGATATCGACGTCCTTCACCACCTTCTTCATTTTCTTTTCGGAGCTTTTGCCTTTGCCGTGCTTGGGTTTGCTGCTTTTACCTGCCTGCAGAGAGAAAATGATCATGGAAACGGCTAATTAGCCTTTTGTATTGTCCGCCTTCTGGGCTGAGGATCCCAAGACATCCTGGAACAGTTTCATGGCATCACAGTCCAGGCTATATTAGCTCAGATTCTCTCACCGCAGACAAAATCTATATTTGCTCTGTAAGAATCTTTAAAGACATCAGACGGTGTTGTTTAGTGTTCCACTGCGCTATTGTCTGGCTAAAATAGGTCTGTGCATAATGGAAATCCCAAGGTCTTTTCAATTGATTTTTTAATTAATGCATTGTGATACACTCCCAAAGTCAACCATATGCTGGGTTTTCATCCGATACTGTGTACATTTTTGTCACTTACTGCCTCTGCCCATCTATTTCTGTTATTTGCCTAGTTTTGCACACCACTAATTAAACAATTCTGTGCAAATCATTAGAGATATTAAGGATAGGTGCAAAGGCCATACGTAAGAATCAGCTGGGAACAAGCAAGCTGAAGGCAGCACGTGCAGTGTATTTTTCCATGGAACGAGAGCACTGTCAGGATGCAACCTTCAGTCACCCAAAGAGCACAGCGTGGTGTACATACAGGTATAAAAGAAAAACAAAAAGTCACAACGTCCATATAGAGTGCACAGAACCACTGCCCACAAGAGGAAAGAGAAGACAAACAGAAAACAGCACGAGCTACAGATGATGGCAGTAGCCTTTCCTATTCAGTCATTGCAGACTGCAAACTTCAACACAGACATTCATCAGAGAGGGCAATGAGCCTCTCACAGGCCTTAACTGGCTAGAATTTGTTGAATACTGCATGTCCAGGGATGGGTTTGCTTCAGAGTGGATGCTTACAGCACATTATGAAACAGCCTCCCAACTGCACTCCCTGTTTGTGTAATCCCAGCGGGGCCACTGGCAGATTGTGTGAGCACCGTTACATCACTGGTCAGAATTTGTCCCATAGCTTCAGAATAACAAAGATGCTTACAGCTAAGGGCAAGCTACTGTAGAGAGTCTGCAGTGAGAAACAGGGAATGTCTTTGGCTTACAGCTGACTCACTGCTCCTGCTGTCTCTCTGCAGCGAATACGTCCGACCTCTGGGCTTTGAATGTCAGCAGTCAGTTTTTGTCAGCAACTCTCTTTTCTTGTCTTTTCTGTCTCTTATTGAATGTGACATCAGTAAGCTGCAGCCTGCAGTCAGCTCATGCAGTCCAGCACAGCCTGGAGCAGGGCTTCCCAGAAGACAAACACTTATGGAAAGCCAACTCCTCCAGCACAGCACCACAAATGCTGTCAGGAGTCACACCTTTGTCCATATGTACACAGGCACACACAGCAGAGCCACAGCTAATGTCTGGCATGCCAGCCAACAGCTCTGGTGTTCCTTATGGGTTTAGCAGGCAACCAAAGCTAAGCAGCTCTTTTTTTTTTGGCATGCAGAGGCAACATTTGGGCAGATGAGAGTTCCTAACAATGTCCCATTCATCCCATACAACCAAGAGTGACAACTGAACTCAGTAAGTATCAAGATATCTGTGTTTGTGTGGCATTTGCCATCACCTACAAGCAACCAGATTTGGCTCTTTCTAAAAGGTATGCAGAACTTTACAGCCTGTTGTCTGTCAACATCAAGAAAGAGCCAATACCTTCAGAAAAACCAAACCTGCATTACCATGACTGAGTTCTTCTAGCAAGCAGCACTCCACACCAAGCCCTGAGGCAGGACCCTGCAACACACAGCCATGCCATCAGTTACACACTGTGCAAACCATTGGGATTATTCCATCCCATCCCCACCTCCATCCATCCCCATCCCCACCTTCAATCCCCTTCCCCACCTTCATCTCCATCTCCATCCCATCCTCACCTCCATCCATCCCCATCCGCACCTTCATCCCCTTCCCCACCTTCATCCCCATCTCCATCCTCATCCTCATCCCCATCACCCCCTTATTGCCCTTCCCCACCTCACCTCCATCCATCCCCATCCTCACCTTCATCCCCTTCCCCACCTTCATCCCATCTCCCTCCCCATCCCCATCTCCATCCATCCCCCCCCCCACCTCCATACATCCCCATCCCCACCTTCATCCCCTTCCCCATCCATATCCACCTCCATCCATCCCTATTCCCATCTTCATTGCCTTCCCAACTCCATCCCCTTCCCAACTCCATTGCCATCCCCAACTCCATCCATCGTCATCCCCACCTACATCCATCACCATCCCCACTTTCCTCCCCTTCCCCACCTCCATTCATACCCATGCCCACTTTCATCCCCTTCCCCATCCCCACGTCCATATCCATCCCCATTCCCACCTCCATCCCCATCCTCATCCCCTTCCCCATTTCCATCCCCACCTCCATCCATATCTATCCCCACATTCATCCCCTTCCCCACCTTCATCCCTTTCCTCATCTCCGTCCCCTTCCCCACTTCCATCCTCATCCCCACCTCCATCCATACCCATGCCCACCTTCATCCCCTTCCCTTTTCCCTTCCCCATCTCCATCCCCACCTCCATCCATACCCATCCCCACATTCATCCCTTTCCTCATCTTCATCCCCTTCCTCATCCCCATCCCCACCTCCATACCCTTCCCCATCCCCAACCCCACCCCAATCCCCGTCCCTGTGAACCCCAAGCAGTGAACAGATTCCAATCCCAGATCCCAATCCCGTTGCCAGCCGCCCTTCGCAACCACCTCCCACCCTTCAGCCACGCGTTGCCATGGCGCCCGCCACGCCTCCCCCACTTTCACGCCTGCGCGTTAGGAGGCGGAAGTCCCAACAATCCCAGCGCCCTCAACTGACGCATGCGCAGCGAAAGGCGGAAGTCCCAGCAAACCCAGTACCTCAGAGTACGCATGCGCATTAAAAGCGGAAGTGCCACCAAGCACCCACCCTCACTGCGCATATGCGTAAGGAAAGGAACCAAGGCCCCGCCACCTCAGCCCACGCATGCGCAGAGGGGGGCGGGAAGTCATTAACAGTCGCCTCAGGAGGAGGGCGGGAAAACCGTTCCGCGGAGGCCCTGAGGGGAAACGGAGTCAAAAAAAAAACAACTCCGGTTTTGTGTGTTTGAGAGCGGAAGGCCTCGGCGTGGGCTGTGTAGTGCTGGGGGAGCAGATCCTCTCCTTTGTGGCTTCAAGCTGCGCCAGGGGAGATTTATGCTACTTTTCTGGGTGGTCAGGCACTGGGATGGGCTGCCCGGGGAGGTGGTGGAGTCACCGAGCCTGGGGGTGCTCAAGGAACGTTTGTATTTTGTGCTGAGGGACGTGGTTTAGTGAGAACTATTGGTGATAGGTGGACGGTTGGACTGGATGATTTGTAGGTCTTTTCCAGCCTCGGTGATTCTGTGATTTGTGTTGGTGCTGAGAGCCCCTCCCTGCACATAGGATTCCAGATACAGCCCTCCAGTGCAGAGCAGAGGAGAGAACCCCCCTCGTCTTTCTGACCACGCTCTTGAACGCTCCCCAGGGTCCCATTGGCCACCAGGGCACACTGCTGCCTCTCGGTCCTCCTGCTGGCCACCAGGACCCCCAGGTCTTTCTCCTCAGGGCTCCTTTGCAGCCCCCAGCCTGTACTGATGCGTGTGGTTATTCCTCCCCAGGTGCAGGACCCTACGTTGCCTGTGTTCAACTGCATTGCGTTCCTCTCTGCCCAGCTCTGCCTGTCCAGGTGTCGCTGAATGGCAGCACAGCCTTCTGCTGTGCCACAGCCACTCCTCACAGCTTCGTACCATCAGCAAACTCTGAGGGTAAACTCTGTCCCATCACCCTTATCATTAATGAAGACATTGATCAAAACAGGGGAATGCTGGAACAGCTGTTTTCAACCCTTTTTTTACAAACTTCTTTCTTTCTTCTTCTTTTTTTTTTTTTTTAATTATTATTTGGTTAGTTTAGTTTTGGTTTTGGGAGAGGGTGAGAGGTGGTTTCTGTTCCATGTCTCACAGCACCAAGCTTCTGCAAAGTGACAAGAGTCCAAAGCACGAGTGGAAAATACCAATAGGAGATGAATCATCTCATTAAAAAAAAAAAAAAGTAGAAAATGACACTTCTTGATCACACCACTGCCAAACCCCAGCACTTCAAAGAAGCTTCCTAAATCATGGTTCTGTTTTTCTTAAACATTGGAATCTACTTTCTTGCCCATAACCCTTTAAGATGTGCCTTATCATATTTTCAAGCTTATCTTCAATATATCAGGTAGGAGTTTGGAGGTTTGCTGATTTTAACACATTTTCCTAAGGAAAGGGGGTTTCACTGCCACATGGGTTACCTCTTATCCATTCAGCCATAACTTTTGAACCAAAAGTTGGCAGATTCTGACCAAGTCTGACACAAAGATTCAAATATATTAATTTCCTGCAAGTTTCATGAAAACAACACAGAGGCTATAAAACAAGTTTCTAGTGTCCAGAAAGCCAATGGTTTTACGTTCTGTCATCATATTCTGTCCCCGGTGTGGTGGGTCACATCTTTTTTTTTCCAGTATATGTCTCTTTAAGATTCACTTCTCTTTGTACATTTGTGTAAAAATAGATTCATTCATTCTGAAACTAAAGGGAAATGGGATGTCTTTGGACCAAAAGAAATCCAAAAGACATCTATGTAGTGGTTAATAACATCCACAGTATGGATATATATGCCACGGATTAACAAATTTCAATCCAAAAAGATTCACCTAGCAGTAATTCTGATGCATTAACACAGGTCTAATGACTGTCCCTTTGATGAAGAGGGAAAGCTGAGCCCGGCTGAGTGGAGAAGTGAGACCAGGGAACGCTGGAAATAACAACAGGATCACCACTCGACACCTCAATGTCGTCCAAATGTCGGTGCTGTGAACATGGTGCAGTACAGAATGGGGAAACACCTCTCTTGTAATCTGGGCACATTACATGTTTTCAGGGGTAAGTGATAAGACCTTGCAACCATACATTTCCAATTCTTAAACTTCTCATGAGTGTTTCCTTTGCTCTAGAAGACACTAACTTTTTCAATGCTTCTTTCCGTTGCAAGATCCAGAAGGTTTTGTTGCATCAGAGAAAGAGAATCGCTTTCTGATCAGTGGGAGTATCAGGCTTCACCGAGGCTGATGAGCACCTTATCTCCCTGTTCACACTCAGTGATGAACTTCTGGCATTGAGTGGCAAAGGAAAATGAGGGATAGTGTTACCCTGTATCATAGACTGAGCTTGTCAGGGTGGTGCAGAAGGTGTACTGTAAGCTTAAGAAGTTCCTTGCCATTTGAATAGGAGCAGGGCCTTCAGTATTGGATGGACAGGGCATGGCTGTGTTGTGTTTTTGGTGGCTCAACTCCCATTCTTTGTTGCGCTGCTCGCTGCTCTCCCATTCCTGCCTGTATAAGGCCGCAGTAACTGGAGCAGTTTGCTTTCTGAGGTGGAAACAGCCCTGCCAGAACTTTCACTGCTGAGGGAAAGCTCAAAGGAATCAGAAGCCAAAAAGGACGGGAGAAAACAGGAAAGGATGTGGTGGTGTGGTTCAGAAACACTCTGCAGACTTTCTAAGTAGAGCAGTTCTGAGTGAGGGTTGGAGATAATAAAAGAAATCATGAATGAAAAATGATAAATAACACAAAAATTCATATTTTTACAATGTTAATAGAAAAAAATGATGTTTAGTTTTTATTAACAAACCATGTGGCATGAAAGAAGCAATCATGATTATCTCCTTTTAGCAAAAACAACTGGCAAGATACATTTTTCTAACTACTCAGGGTAGAAAGAAGTAGCACTAATGACAACTGCGTCAGCAATATTAGATTGAGCACTCTGAAATCCCGTGAACTCAGCTGTTGGTTTTCATAAACACGTTTGAACCTGGCTAAGAAAAACAAGCTGCTGTTTGCACATGCAAGGCTTTAGATAAATAATTAAGGGAAGTTTGTGCAAACTGGGAGGATAATAAGCCTGACCTCATACAGTCACTGCTGTAGTTACAGTTTGATATATAAAGCGTGCACCAGCTCTGGCAGCTGGCAGGCCAGCCCTTCTCACTGTCATTATAAGCTGCTCCATAAGCTGTGGAATTAATGACATCCTTCCCTTAGGGCAACTGGGGGCCTTGGCTGGGACCTTAATGGGGTCTCCCCGTCCCCACCCAGCTGTCAACTTTCACAACTCTTCAAGGGAACTTAGGGAATGTCTTTGACGCCTTTTATCCTTTGCTCGACTTTGCATGACGTTGGCTAACCTGTTCATAAGCTGCTTGTAAGGTCTTTGCCCATTCTGTCCCTAGGAAATTAGGCTAAAAACAGAAGGAGAAGAATCTTCAGGCAGTAAAGAAGACAGCTTGCAGCCACCTGTAGGTTGAAGAAAAAGCTCTGCATGATGTTTGCAACAGAAACTGAGCACGCAGCCTTTCCTGGAACCAACAGCTGTGTTCGGGGTAAAGTAACACATATGGTTCCCTCAGCTGCACAGAAGCTATGAGAAACTTTGCTCTGAAACTCATTTGTTCTGCATCAAAAGGAGGGAGGGGAGATTGAGGTCGGACATCAGGGGGAAATTCTTTACCCAGAGAGTGGTGAGGTGCTGGAACAGCTGCCCAGAGAGGTTGTGGATGCCCCGTCATTGGAGGTGTTCAAGGCCAGGTTGGATGGGGCCCTGGGCAGCCTGGTTTAGCATTCAACGTGGAGGTTGGTGGCCCTGCATGTGGCAGGGGGTTGGAGATTCATGATCCTTGAGGTCCCTTCCAACCCTGGCCATTCTGTGATTCTGTGAAAATGATTCTCCCATAACTGTTACCTCCTACCTCTCTTTTAGGGAGATGGAAACCCTCACTGTGAGGGGGGAGGAATTTCCAATTGCTCAGGATGAAATATTTCCTAGCACTGCTGGAGAAGCAGCACCTTGGGCTCAGAAGTGCTGGTAAGAGAGTTTTCCAGAGGGGCCTCAGTGCTCAAACACCTTGAGGGAAAGTCTTGAGCTTATTGCATTGTTTGACTGACCCACATCTGGTTGTAACTAGAATAAGAGGTTCCCCCTATTCCTGTTAAACTGGTGTGTCAGCCCCACAGCTGCTTTGCAGAGTGCAGTGAGAACAGTGGTTTTCATCACCTTCCAAAGCATGGCCTGCCTCAATAAAAGCATGATAAAGCCATGATGGGATAAAAGAACTTAACTTAAAAGCTCTGCCTTCTCCTGTTTACTTTTTTTTTTACACATGGGCTCAGTTTTCACATAAGGGGATGTCTACAGAGCTTCATTTTGTTTGGTGGTGGAAATAGTATTGAAACATTACAGTTATTTCCACCTTTCTACCACACAGAGATTCAGTCAAGAATTTGTATTTCCGTTCTCAGTAAAGATAGAAAACATGGTAAGCTGTGGAACCCTCACATGAAGCACAGTTTAAATACAAAAGGTAGAAGAATGAACCTTACATCAAACAGAATAACCAGGACCTACACTAACACTGCAGGGAAGAGACCAAAAAAAAAGTTTAGAGGCGAATACAAAGGGCTTTTCTAAGTTTGTGAGTTCAGTAATCCCAGCTACAAGATGCTGACCTGCAGGGAAATGAGGAAAGCTGCACATCTGGTAGGAAAATCAGAGAAATCATCATAGAGAAAATTCTGAGCTGTCCTGCTACTCCTGGGCTCTGTATTTGCAGCATGGGGCTGAAGCCAGTGGTATTGTGTTGAGGGACGTGGTTTAGTGGGAGCTATTGGGAATAGGTGAACGGTTGGACTGGATGATCTTTTAGGTCTTTTCCAACCTTGGTGATTCTATGATTCTATGATTGCACATAACAGCTGCATTTCTACCACTTACACATGCAACAGACCTGACTTCTTGGGTTAGTTTGAAGGGAGAGTTCTAAAAGGAAATAAAACCAACCAAAATTAGGATGTAAATTAAGGTGCACAAAGAAAAAAGTTCACGTGAATGAACGGACTTGAAAAGTCACTCTGGTTTATTGTGAACAGAAGCATTCTTAAAAAGGGTGAGCGGGTTTACTAATGGCAGCTCTTTGAAAAGTGCCTTTTGCAAACCACATCAAGGAAACATTCTCAATTCAATTCCACAAGCAATAAGCACAAATCCTGCCATGACAAATACCTGTGGTTTCATTACCTGCATGCTCACTGCATCGGTAGCAGCACAGCGGGGGAGAAATCCACTTCTGCTTGCACTATATTGACACATTTTTCTTTGACAAACTGATTTCATAAGGGAGGAAAAATTAGACCAGGATTCCCTGTGCATGGCTGACAACATTCTGTAGAAAAAGATATAATCTTTCATCTCTTATAATCTTTCATACCCTGTCACCATACTCACAGCTCGTTGTGTGAGTCTGAACGTTCTGGACTGCACCATCTGCTGTTTCTGTCATATGATGGCAGCAAAGTGGTACCTAAAGCACTCTTCCTTCCTGCTTTAAGACTTGGCACAAGCATCCTCCCAGAGAACCAAAAATCCGTGCAAAAATCAGGTTATTTTCCAGAAGACTGTCTCCTGTAGGGCTGCAAAGGGTAAAGAGCAATGAAGAAAGCTCTCTGGAAACCAAACGTTGCAGTAATTATCTTTCAGAAACAATCAGCCTGCTGCATTTTATTTCCCCGTATGGACTTTGTAATGGAGCATCTTGCTTGATGAGAAAAAAAGCCTTTTAGTGTCATGTGTAGACATCCTATAGCATGAGTCAGTAACTTCTGGGCCAATAATTCTGGACTTACAGCAGGTAGAGAGAAACATGGCAGTGAACCTCCTCTGCAGCTCTTTGCCCTGCAAGCTCTTTGTTCATTTTATTCTCCTAGCAATGAGCAGAGGGGTGAAGGAAGTGGAGCAATGGTAAAGGTAAATGCATTACTATCCCTAGTGACCAATGCAAAAACCGTGTAAATCTGCTGAACAATCCCAGCAGTGATGCTGCCCTGGGGACAAGTAATGTCATCCCCTTTGGCCAAGTCATCCAACTCTACTTGGGACTGTCACAGATGGTGCCACCTATTTTGTGTTTTTTACTTCATCACAGCAGTGTGGTGCTTCATGCACATCATCATAAATGAACAAATGAAAACACATCAGCTCAGCTTGAGGCATCTGGGTGAGATGAAGACTTATCAAGGCTCAGATACCCTTACAACAGACTTAACAAGCTAAGGGACAGCACAGGCTCAGATCTCTCATACACAGTTGTAAATCTGCAGTGAAAACCAGGTGAGGCCACTCCTGAATGAGACGCCAGAACCTCGTCCTCGGCCTCCATACAGCTCTGTTGGTACCTCATGGCCTCCAAGAGGTCACAACAAAGGGAAAACCTCCAAGAAAACGAGAGTTGAGGTGTCTGGATGGTTACAGAGAGGCCTGGACGCTCTAAGAAGGTGATTTTCTTCCAGCTTTACTTAAAATGATCTTCTTTTCCTCGCTGTGTAGCACCTGGAGTCCCTGCTGGGATGGGACGGCTGACGTGGTGGCTCTCACTGGTAGCGCAGCAGCTCTTCCCAGCGGATGGGCTGGGAAAACACCTCCCGCTCCAGCCACAGCTCGTAGGAGTAGTGGAAGTCCTCGGGGAGCTCCAGCCGCTGCCCCAGCACGCTCTGCAGGCAGTTGTCCACCGGTGCAAACTCTGAATCCTGAGGTTTGTCGTATCTCCGGCTGTTGAAGGCTTCGATGCTGGCTCTCAGTGTGCATTCTTCAGCTTGGAAGTCCCACGGCCTCGCATCAATATCTAGGTTTAAGATCGAGCAAGACCGTAGCGTGGCGGAAAAAAAGGTTTGAACAAAAGGAAGGATGAAGGCTTTATAGCATCACACACTTGTGTTATTCACCAGTTTGTTGTTCTTAATTCTGTGATAATTATTCATAGCGAGCTCCCATTATGCAAGCATTTTAATTTGAAGTAATTAACTGAAACATATTAAAATCGCTTGTAAATTAAGCAGAGTTAGAAAGCTGCCTGTAGAAATGCAGTTATTTCTGTTGTCTGCTTTGAGGACTCTGTGCAATTACAAAGCTACTTTGTTTGGAAAGGCCTCATCGCTTCTACTCAGAATCTCCACAGATTTCTAAAGGAGAGACCAAGATTTAAAGCACACTGCTAAAACATCACAAAGTTCATTGTAGCCTATTGAAAAAAAAACAAAAAATTGAAAATTTGGGCGAATTTAACAGTGTTGGAAAACTAACAATTGACTGTAATAACCACAGTTCTTTAGATATGATAATATTGTGTACACACAAAAAAGCAGTGTTTTATACTTGGCCTTTAGGAGCTCTAGCTCTAATGAACAAATCATTTGCTCCATAAAGATTTAAAAAATTCATGCCAAGGTCTCAGCAGTGCTCAAAGGATGGAAAAGCCTTCTAAAAATACAGATTTAGAGCACAGAATTGTTGTTTAAACAGACCAGCATGTCCAGCCTCTGCTTCAGCTTATGGATTCACAACCTTGGGCTGTAACCAACATCGTCTCTCTGGTGTGAAGTATGGGGCCAACTGCTTGGATTTCCCCTCTGTGGCCATCCCAGGCATGCAAGTTTGGTGCAGAGCAGTTTGGTGCCTCAGTGGTGAAAGCAATCAATTTGGGAAAATGGAAATGGAGGCCTGGGTTTGGTAGAAACTCATCTTGGAGACCCGAGCTGACTGCATCCCATCCCGATCCGATTATTCCTCATGCAATTAGTTCCCTCCTGATGGTGCATTAAGGCTTCAGAAAAAGAAAACCCAGGTTGCTGGCCCAAGCAAGTTTATAGTGTTCCAACAGGCCCTAGGGCTAAACTTGCTCATGACCAGGACTCCTCCCAGCAGAACTCACCGTTGCCATACGCCCAGTCGTCGTTCATGCGGTGCCGCACCTTCTGGTAGATGGCCGACATGGTCTTCATGTTGCTCTTTCTCCACTGGCGCCCCAGGTATTTGGTCTGGATCTTCAAAAGTTTGAGAACGTACAGCTGCATCATGGCCTGCTTCACCTTCAGAGCTCGCTTCAGTATCGGGGCCGACTTGAAGACTACCAGCATCTGCCAAGAAAAGGCATTGGAAATCAGCGCAGGGAGCTCAACAAAACAGTGGAAATGCTGCTGCCTGCCCTGCACAGCTCCGGGCGGCACCACTTTGTGTAAGCATGTGGAAGACAAAGAACTGGTCTTTGTCCTTAGATGTCAACATTGGGTCCCCTGTTGTCCACACTGGCTTCACTCATTCATCAGTGGCTTGGATGAAGGAACAAATTGCCTCCTTGGCAACTTTACTACGGTGATCCTCCTTACCATTGTCCTCGAGTGCTTCCACTTGGTCAGCTTGTTGAGGATCCTCAGCAGGTTAATGCAGGAGAATAGGTTTCTCCAGCAGAACTGGTTGTTGTCTCCAGCTTCCTGCAAGCAAAGAGGGGAAAGCAGAGCTCTGAGGGTTCACCATCACACTGCTGATGGCACGTGGAGACAGGGAAACCCTTCTGGAAAGAATCCTCAGTGCTTTAATTTGTGCTTCGGTTTAGAGTGTTATCCAAGAGAAATCACATTGCTTTGCCATGGGAAATGTGTGTTTTAGGAGATTTGTACTGATTGTCTGCCAAGCAAATTACAGCCCCGTCATCACTGCTTAGCAAACATTTTGTTGCCAATTATATAAATCAATTCGTAAATTGCTACATGCTTAGAAGACAGTACGGATAAATAAGAAGAAATGACAAAATAATGAAGGATGGAAACCAGCAACATTTCTGTTGGGAGAACAAGATTTTTCTATAGCAAAGATCCTCTCCACCTTAAGTGCAGCCCATGCATTACTTTAAATATTAGCTGCGTGTCAGCACCCCCAGCACCAGTGTGTGGAAGTGGTGCCCGTGGTACATCTGAGCACTAATTCCATCAGCACAGCCACTTGTTTTCTGCTTGCACAGCGCTGAGCACTGGCTCAAG